AAATGCTCTCAGCATCTACTGACTGACAGAGTCAAGTATATTTTTCTTCCCTTTCATTGATGGCAGCATATTGGACTAATTGAGTTGCATATGTTGTATCTCTAACATAGTTTTTTTTTTGGTCAAGTGTATGATCCTTTTAATATATCATTGAATTCGATTTGCTTGTGTTTAGTTGAGAATTTTTGCATCTATGTTCACCAGAAATACTTGTGCCCCCTGCCTTTTTTGGTCTGATGTCCTTGTCTGGTTTTGTTATCAGAGTAATGTTGGTTTCACAAAATATATTTGGAAATAATAAAACTACTGTAAGAGTTGGAGAATAGGGTTAAATTCCTTTTTGAAGGTTTGGTAAAATTCACTGGTAGATTCATCTAGTCCAGGTGCACTGTTATTGCTGTCACATCTGCATTGGAAATAAGTCACTACATATCTTGCCTGTGCTTTAAGGGGGGTATTACTGGACTACTGGACTGGTCTTTGAAGAAGTAATAAAACATTTTTGGCCTCTTTTTTTGTGTGTGTGTGTGTGTGTGAAACATCATGAGGTACAGTTGTAGACTTACAAACTTTTGTGCTTGGGTTTCAGTTATACAATGATCGAGTACCCATCCCTCCACCAGAGTCCATTCTCCACCACCAATGATCCCACTAGCCCTCCCACCCCCACTCCCCATCCTCCCCCACCCCACTCTGCTTCTGTGGCAGGGCATTCCCTTTTGCTCACTCTTTTCTTTAGGGTGTTGTAATGCAATAGTTTGCAGTAGAGGCATTGAGTGGGTTTATGGCCATATTTTAAAATCACTGTGATTATACTGTATTAGATACTAGATCAAAAATTGTATAGTACTAAATGTATTATTTTTAATAAACATAACATAAACCTTGTTATTAAATGTCTGCTCTCAGGTAGTTGGGTGATGCTGAGGCATTTCAGGATGGAACCGTCCTATACTTCCAACTATAGTTCTTCGTGCCTGCATTGCAGTATATTGTGTCTGTTACTTTTAAATTTACTTGTAGATTTTAATTTTTCTATTCTGCTGCCACTTGCTTTCATTTAGTTTGCTTAAGTCTCAGAGTTTGAATCCAAGTATAGCCAATATTTTTTTCTCTCCTTTTCTTAGTATGACAGGTATTTCATCAAAGGGGCACGGGATTGCTGAGTGGCCCCTGGAGGGATTGCTGGGTCCAGGGCCTCCCATGTGTTAGGTGTGTGCTCTACCATTTGAGCCACCATTGTTTCCTTTGGGGAGATGGTGGTGAGTGCTTACGGAGTGTTCCAGTCCGTTCTGGACTCACTCTGATGGTGCTGTGAGGGGGACCATATGTGGTGCCCATGGATTGAAATTTGGTAAGCTTTGTGCAAGGCAAGTGCCTCTGTTTCCTCTCCAGTCCCTCCCTTGTTTTCTTTCAGTGGTGGTTTCTGTCTAGTGTTGCTGGCATACTATCCTAGTTCAGATAAGAAGAGTGATGACTTTGAGATTAATAATTGCAATGTAGCACAGTTATTTGGAAGTATATGAAAACTTCAAAGCATCTGAAGTGAGTAATTATCGCAAGTACAAATAAGTCATATGTTATTTATTAGAGCAGTACAAGAGCAGGAGACTAATTTGGCAAAGAAACATCTTCAGAGAAAACTTGAGAAACGGAATGTTCCCAGTTCACTTTTTGTGCAAATCTGGTACTGATGAATTAATCACTTTAATCTTGATGTAATCTTGATGTACAGTCTTCATTCCTTATTATTCATTTTCCTTCCATCTTCTGTTATTTCTTTTTTTTAATTCTTCAGAGCTGGGAATGAAGGAATATTGTAGGCATTTGCCATAGCTTCCCTTAAATGAAGTAGAGGTAAATGGCATCTACACAGAGTCTATACATTTTATTCATAAGAGCCACTGTTGAAAGTAGTAATAATTTTTTTTTTTAAAAAGCAGAGAACAAGAAAGCATTAAACTCTTCACGGTTTTCTGTTTCACTCAGAACAAAACTTAAATTCTTATTTTATATTTCTGTATGTGATCTGCTCCATCCTCCTCTCAACCCCTTCCCTGTTTAATTTCCTGAGCTCATCTATTGCTTTCTCCAGTTGTTTCTCAAACTTCTTGCCATTACGTGATCACTTCTAGAATTTCTTCACAATTTTCTGTTTATTCTGCCTGAGAGCTTATTTTTCCCAAATTTACACATATTCCTTGTTCACAAGCATTTGCCTACATCACCCCTTCTCAGGCCTTCACCAGCCACTTTATTGTAAATCCTACACCTCCAACAACTCTAGGCTCAGCTTTATTTCACTCCGAAGCATGTGTTATTTGTTATCTAACATTTACTACTTTTTCTGCTGAATATTTGTGGGCTGGAGCGATCGCACAGTGAGTGGGGTGTTTGCCTTGCACGAGGCCAACCTGGCCAACCCAGGTTCAATTCCTCTGCCCCTTACCGAGAGCCCGGCAAGCTACCGAGTTTATCTTGCCTGCACAACAAAGCCTGGCAAGCTACCCGTGATGTATTTGATATTCCAAACACAGCAACAAGTGTCACAATGGAGACGTTACTAGGCCCGCTCGAGCAAATAGATGAACAATGGGAGGACAGTGACAGTGATGTATATTCGTACTGTAATTTTTTAAAGGCAGGAATATTTGTCCATTTTGTTTATTTTTGTTTTTCAGTAGTCAAAATTGTACCTGAATGTGGTAGGAAAAGACATTATTCTGTAGCAGAGACTGGGTTAAATGCCCCCGCAAATTTGAATCCTTGGTTGTAATTTCTGTGTATGGACTGCACTGAATCTGAGAAGATTCTTATTGTTTCACATTACTTCTGTCAATATTAGGATTGTATTGTCTACTGTCCAGTGTCCTCCCATTGTTCATCGATTTGCTCAAGCATGCCCAGAACGTCTCCAATTGTGAGACTTGTTACTGTGTTTGGTATATCGAATACATTACTGGTAGCTTGCCAGGCTTTGCCGTGCAGGTGGAATACTCTTGGTAGCTTGCCAGCCTCTGCGAGAGAGGTGGAAGAGTTGAACCCAGGTCGACTGGGTGAGCCTCATGCAAGGCAAACGCCTTAATTAATATTTTTCGACCCCTATAGTCAGAATTTGTAATCTCTTCTTAAAAATGTTTTTACTGTGCTTCTGTCTATGATTGACAATACTGTTAATGATGGTTTCTGGTCAGTATTTCCAGTGCCATGCTTATCATCAGCATTTGCCCTCCCTCTCTCAAGGGCCTTCGTGTCTCTCTGTTCAAACCGCCTTCTCCAAACTCATTTGTGTGGATCAGTTCTCCCTTTGTGTTACCTTGGGCCCTTTAAGTCCCTCATCAGAAAAAGTTCATTCTGTGGATCCCTATTTTTCCAGCTGCTTTTACTCAGCATGATATCCTTTGGTTGCTATACATGTTGCAGCAAATCACATGATTATTTTAGAGCTTTATATTTTTATAGTATGAGTCGGTGTGCTTCAATTTCTTGAGTCTTCCATCCATAGTTAGGCATTGGGTGGTTTCTGTAGTTAGGCTTCTGTCCTAATTGCAGCAGTGAACATAGGTGTGCATATTTCACATGTTCTCTCTAATTAATGTTTGCGTGGTTTGTAGAAAGATGCCAGGAAGCAGTTCGGTTAGGTCGTATGGGGGTTCTGTTCCTATTTTTGGAGAGATCTCTGTACTGCTTTACTATTGCCCGCACCAGCAGTCTGATTTGATTTAGATAACTGAGCTGTCTTACCCAGGTGTTTGGTGGGGTAGGGGGGGCTTGATAACTCTGAGGTGTGTGTATAAGGTAAGGTAAAGGTCCTCCCGTTGATCATCGATTTGCTCGAGCGGGCCCAGTAACATCTCCATTGGAGACTTTGTTGTTACTGTGTTTGGCATATGGAATACTCTTGGTAGCTTACCGGGCTCTCCGAGAGGGGTGGAGGAATCGAACTCGGGTCGGCCGTGTTGGCCTACAACTTGTAAGGCAAACGCCCTACCGCTGTGCTATCGCTCCAGCCCTGAGGTGTGTGTATGGGTGGTGCAATCCAAGAGAGTTTAGTTGTCCCAGGTAGAGTTGGGGGCAGGGGGATACTTTCTGTCATTTCTCTATACTCGCTTAATGAAGATAGGGCATTGAGTATTGTTTTTCTGAAAAAGCAGCAGGCAAAATATGTTCGGGAGCTTGATGCTTCATTTATCATTCATATGAATGAGTGTGTGTGTCTGTGTGTGTGTATGTGTGTGTGTACCTTGAGGTGTGTTAATGTATTTGTGCAGCTGTCCGTGGTGAGATAGCATAAAGTTAAACTCATTTGCAGAAATGTCAACTTATAGATTTCAGTGATGATAGGCAATTAGCAGTAGTTCAATAGGCAATTAGCAGTAGTTCATGTGTTTAAGTGTAAAAAGCTATTAAAAAAAAACTTAGCCCTTACTAAAATGTTTTTAAAGCACAAGTTGCAGCTTTTGAAATAGTGAATGAATTAATTTCAAAACAGATGGCCTTCATAGTTAAAGGTAAATTGTAGTTTCTCTCTTTTTGATAGATTTGTTACTGGAGACTCAAGTTATCAGGACAGATTGACAGTCATGAAGAATGTAGCCTGGGGAGCAGGGATGGGTGCAGATGAGCCCTGGTCTAACCACCTCGGAGCAGCGAAAGAATCACATTTTCAGTGTTACTTCTTTGAACAGTATCATGCCTAAAGGAACAATACTGCATCGTGGAGAAACAAGTAGTAGTAAAATGCAGTTTCCCAAGTAGTTGGTAACAGAACACACTTTGTCTGGGGGTTTTCCCTTATTTTCATGCACCTTGCATTATTATTGGTAGGTTTTTCAAGAGAAGATGCAAATGTGTTTTCCAATAGCTGTCTTGATGGCTTTAAGGTTTTTTGATTTGTTCGATCAACTTTTAAACCTTTTATGAGACTAAGAGCTTTGCCAGGAGAAACATTAGTTCTGTGATATTTGTTTTGTGTTTGCTAACTCATGATTTTTTTGTAGAATTCTCTTACAACTTCTTCAGCGCATCAGTGGGACTAAATCAGATCCATAATTTCACTGACGGGGCATCTGAAAGCTGCCATATATGTCACAGTACACAGAGAAAGAGCAAGCAGGTAAGAAACGGGTGTGTGTGACTTCTGCTCTGCATGCGGACCTCCTCATGCCCAGAGAACCCCCCTCAGAACCCTGTGTGACAGGCACCGAAAGTGAGGGACAGTCTTAACCCACACAATGAATATTTCTATATGCTTGATTTCTTGTTCTGATCTATAGTACTGGAGAGAGAGTACAAGGGTGAAAGTGCTTGCTGTGCATCAGTAGACACAGGTTTAAACCCCAACACCACGTGCGGTGCCTGGGCATGACCAGAAGTGTTCCCTAAGCCCAGAGCTAGTAGTAGCCTCTGAGCACTGCCAAATGCAGCCCATCCACCCTGTCTGCCATAGTAAGATTAAAAACAGAAATTCTGGAAAAGAGCTTTTACTGTACTGTCCATTTTGACTCTGCCTCTCTAGTAGATTATTAAAGAGATTGGTTCTGAAGTCTTAATATGGGATTATTTGCAAGTTATTTAAATATTTAATTTTATTGTTAATTGTGGTTTCGGAAATAGAATGCATACCTACTTCACAAGGTTGTAGTTATTTCAACATACAATGAAATTTAATATTGTATGTTTTAAACATGTGGTTTTGTTTTATTAATGCTTGGAAGCAATTGTTTCTTGTTTTAATTTAAAAACCAAAGAAACTTTCATTCATTGACTATTCCATATACTTTGAAATATGTTTTGTTTAGTTCCTATGTTGTATACATAATACAGAAATTGACTTAGCAAATGTGTGTGTGTGTGTGTGTGTGTGTGTGTGTGTGTGCGCGCGCGCAAGCTACTGTTTACTCCTCTGCATCCCATAGCATCAAAACTTCTATTCAGGAAATTCTAATTTTGATGTTCCTAATATGTTTCATTGGTGGGTAGAGTATCTTATATTTGATGAGGCTCATGATTGTTTTCTTTTGGGGAATTTTATCTGACCCTAATTTTTGATATCTGATGTAGTGTAGTCCATTTATCCTTAATGATAGTCATATAAAGAAATTCTTTGTTAAGATTCTTAATGTAATTGGGGGGCTGGAGCAATAGCACAGTGGATAGGGCGTTTGCCTTGCACGCGGCCGACCCAGGTTCGATTTCCAGCATCCCCTATGGTCCCCTGAGCCTTGCCAGGAGTGATTCCTGAGTGCATGAGCCAGGAGTAACCCCTGTGCATCGCTGGGTGTGACCCAAAAAAGGAAAAAGAAAAAAAAAAGATTCTTAATGTAATTGAAACCATTATATCATGTTCTGTTCTAGTAATTTACTCAATAAATGTGTTTGAACATCTATTCAGATACTTTATAAATAAATTAGAGGATTTTTTTTTTATCTTTAATGACGTTTGTCTGAACTACTTTAGGGGCATTAACGTTAAAAGATACATAATTTATTTATACTCAAAAATACCTTTAAGAAATCATGGAGATAGTAAAGGGATTATGGCCCTTGCCTTGAGTATGTGGACCCAGCATGCATCTCTTGCACCATGCGTGTGGGCCCCTGAGCACTGCTGGATATGGCCCCAAAACAAAAAACAAGCAAGAAAACAAAATAAAGTCTTAAGCATAAGTCTCGAAACATATTTCGTTGTAGGTTTTTTTGGGGGGGTGGGGGGGTGCTGGTACAGGCATGGTGGGGAGGTGTGGGGCCACACCTGGAGCTGCTCAGAGCTCACTGAGGTGGTGCTCAGGGAACCATATGTAATGCCAGGGACTGAACTCCTATCTCTCCAACCATGCATGTTTTAAGTTACTCTGTATGTTCCTAACTCACTATTCAGCAAATTACTGTCAAAATATGAATATCCCCTACCCCCACCTCCTTCCCACCCCCCACACCCCCATCACTAGAATGAAGACAACCGTTGTTAAATGCCACTCCAACATTTTAATTATTTTTTATTTTCAGCAATGGATCAAGAATTCAGCAAAGCTGCCTGGCCCAAACCAGCAGGAGGCTATCAAACAATTACAGGCAGGAGATATGGAAGAAGACATGCATATGTCAGCTTTAAGCCGTGTATGACTAGGCATGAAAGGAGTTTGGGTCGGGCTGGTGATGACTATGAAGTGTTGGAACTTGATGATGTTCCAAAGGAAGGTTCCTCAGGTATGCAGTGTGAAAGTACTTACGGGCTGATAAAAAGTATGTAGGAACCAATCTTGTGATAGTTGGCTGCATGAGTATGCATTTCCTATCAAGAAATTCTGTTTGTAAAAACAAATATTGTAAGTGGTATACACTTAATCTTACAGAAAATAGAATCTAGCTGGTTATGACATGGTAATGATTATATTGTCATAAATTTCACCAGAGGAAATCTTCACCTTTTAATCAAAATTATATTAAATGTGAATCAAGTATATTTTCCTAGCATATTATGTTCATATACCTTTATTTTGTTATTTTAATTGTGTCTCTAATTTAGCATGAATAATTTGTAGAGGTATTTTATATAAATAGCATGAATAATTTGTAGAGGTATTTTATATAAATTCCAAATGATGCTTGCTATTCAATTAATATTTCTTAATTATTAAGTGATTTGAAAAGTTACTTTGCTGATATCCATGTACTATAATTACCATTTTCTTGAGTTGCATTGTCTTCCTCTTGTCTGGAACAAATTTGATGATTGTAATTTTTTGCTGTCATTATAAACAAGAATCTAAATTATTAACTGATTCAGTTACAAAGTGATTTGTGGAATACAGTTGATCTTCACTTTTCAATAGTATATAAAGTTCCAACAAATTTCATATGTCTTCATTTTGTGTTGAATTACTTGTACTTAATGTAATTTATAGAACAGATCTGATACTAGTCTTGTATCAGAATTCTGACAATATAGCAAAAAGAATCAGCAGACTGACTTTTTGGTTGTCAATATTAGTAATAACAAAGCTAAAGTCATGTCATGGCTAGAGCAGTGTTATAGCAGACCATTTTGGGAAGTGATATCTGCTGCATATCTGGAGACTTAACATCAAGTCACAATAGAAACATTTCTGTTAAGTTGCTAACCTATTTTATCGTATTTTTCCTATCATAATTACTTCCATCATATTTATTTTTACCTTCATGAAACCATCATATTTATTTTTACCTTCATGAAATAGAAGAATCTTAAGTTTGAATTGTGTATCCTGGCAATTGGAGAGTAGTATAGTTTCTTTTCTGCTTCTCATTGTGGAAATTCTCATTAGCCTCTCCTTTTATGTCTTTTGGAGAATGTTTCAATAAGTAGGATTTAGTTGGGAAACATGAGAAGAGATGTGAGGGAGAAGCTCAGTTGAGAGAGGTACTGAGAGGCAGAAATAAGCTCATAGGTAACCAATTTACCCTCTTAGTTAAGCTAGGGAGGAGAATGACATTCCTGCGTATTCTCAGGGAAGTGTGTGCCTTCCACTTAATTACTAGTAAATAACATTTTATCTCAATCAATCCCTCCAAATATGTTTTCTTTTACTCTTTATGAAGGTTGCAGTCCAGTGGATCAAGATCATCATTCTTTACCCAGTGACACTTTATCAGAGAAAAATGGAACGAAAATTCCAGTTTGTGATTCAGCATTGAGTCAGTTCAGGGAGAGCAGTCCTCCCTTTGCAGCCATGCTCTGTAGTGAGGAAGGCAGGGAGTCCTTAGGAAGAAATATGAATCTCCATCATCACTCTGAGGGAGCGTATTCCCTAGGAGGTTGTCATGCCTCAGGTGATGAAAATGGAGTTCCATTGGTTCATACTGATTCTTATGTTCCAGAGAGCAGACATGGAGAGGATACTGACCATCTTCAGCTTTCCACAGAAGTGGTGGAAGGTGAGAGATGTCAGGAAGCATCAGGTAATACGGTGTTTGGGTTGGAAAATGGAAAAGTGGAAGGATACGCTGGTCTGTCACTACCAGTTCCTTTTTTTAACTGTGAAATCAGAGATGAGCTTGAAGAATTAGATTCAGCACCTATAGTGAAAAGTTCTACTAAAGGTCCTGAGTTAGTCCATCAGAGCAGTCAGGAATTTCAGATGTCCTATTCTGGAGATGAGATTGTTGAAAAGAAACAGCAGAATCATATTAGCCAGGAGAGACAGAGAGAACATTTATCGGAAGATTTAGCCTGTGTGCTGGTTCATAGTAAAAGTGAACAAAATTCCAGAGATAGGGCCAGGAACCAGGGCCGTTCTCCGGAACAGGTGGTGAGGCCCAAGGTTAGAAAAGTGGTAAGTTCAAGCCAGGTGGATCAAGAATCAGGTTTCAATAGGCATGAAGCCAATCAGAGAAGTGTTCAGAAGTGGAGGGAGGCTTTGGAAGTGGAGGAGAACACTTCGGATGACCTCCTGATTAAGTGTGATGACTACGATGGAGACCATGAGTGTATGTTCTTGGACCCACCCTATGCAAGGGCGACATCCCGGGAAACAGACAGTGGAGCCACAGCAGGAAGGCCAGATGCCGCGGATAGTGCCTTTTGGAATGGCTGTGGAGATTACTACCAGCTCTATGACAAAGATGAAGACAGGTGAGGGTTTTCTCTGAACACGTGCTGTTCGGACAAAGGTGTTGTTACTGCTTTGTGGGCAGGGACTTAATCTTTAATCTTATTCTTTATTATTATTATTATTATTATTATTATTATTATTATTATTAATGTAGGAGTACTGCTATTTATTCAACCATTAATTAAGCTGATTGAATTGGGCATGGACTCCACGTTACTTTTGTTTAATTCTATTCTGAATGTTAATTTTATTATTTTATTATTATCTCCCCCCTCCCCCCTTTTTTTTGATTTACTGTGAGATACAGTTACAACGCTTTCATGTTTGAGCTTTGGTCATACAGTCATCAAACACCCATCCCTTCACCAGTGCACATTTTCCACCACCAAAATCCCCAGTATTCCGCCCCTCACCCTTGTCCCAACCCTTCCCCTGCCTGTTCCTAGACAATTTCCCCCATACTTTCTCTTTCTTTACTTTGGTTACATTCGCTATTTTGACACCAGTCTCACCACCACTCAAAACTTTCGAAAAGGCAATGCTAGACGATTTGTTTTGGATTACTTGTTATGGATAGAATATAATGTCCAGGAAATTATGTGCCATTCTCTTCCGGGAGCTTTAGTTTATAGTCTCTGGGTCTTGGCAGTTGATGTGATTACATGGCACCAGGGCAGTTTGTGGGTGTGACTTCCAAGCTGCTGGAAAACTGGGGACCTGGGGAGAGGAGGCCCAGTTCCATTCCGAGTAAGTTTAGAGATCTCAGTCACGGGTTCCCACATACCTGAGTTTTTCTGCTGGTCCGCTCTCTGGTGATGTTCATCCCATATGAGAGTGGCCTTGTGCATAGTGGTGGTTGGGTTCTGGAGGTTTTCGTCTGCCGGGGTTCTGCTTGGGGCAGGGAGGGAAACTCAATCCACTCCCCTCCCAGGTGCCCCAGTGAAGACGGCCTGGCACAGGGTCAGGGCATTCTGCAGCACTCTCTTCTAGGAGCATTAGTTTATAATCTCTGGGTCTTGGCCATTGACATGATTACACATTGCTTGGGACAGTTTGTGGGTGTGACTGCCAAACTACTGGAAAACTGGGCACCTGCGGGGAGGAGGCCCAGTCCTGATCCAAGCGAGCCTGGAGCTCTCAGTCACGGGTTCCCGTCTGTCCCTGCAATACAGGCCCTAACTACATCTTTTGATCTCTTTCGAGATTTATGGGTCACTAAAATAAGGCCAATAAATGAGCTTATATAGCTGAGCTGGAGGTGGCTTGTGGGTGTGTCTCCCACATACTTAACTTTTGGCCGTTTAATTTCTTGGTAAACTTGGCTCCAGTTGTTGGGGTCTGGCCAAAGGCGCAGCAGCAATTTTGGGGTATCTTAAAGTCTGAAGTTACCATCAGGCTGTTGATGCACTCGCCCCACAAGTACAGGTTGACCTGCTGGCAACACCATACTCCCTAATCTTAATCTTAAACTTAATCTTGAAGCAGGTAAGGGTTCTCCTTCTATTGGACAAAGGTGTCCTTACTGCTTTGTGGGCAGGGACTTAATCTTAAATTTAATCTTAATCTTAATCTTTAAACAGGTAAGTGTTCACATGCTGTTCAGATAAAGGTGTTGTTACTGCTATGTGGGCAGGTACTTACATATTTTGACTTAATCAGATATGATTCATTGAGTGCTTACCATGCATATAAATGATTCATTAGTACAGGAAACTTTCTTTGTGGTATTATAGGATTTTACAGAATTACAAGTTCAGATAATGACTTACAAAAGGTTACAGATACTATTTCAGTACATGGTTATTTCAGTTAATGAAATGCAGGTAAGGATTTATTGTATTTTTTAAAAATTCTATGCTAAGCCATTATGGATTTAAAATATGATTATGAGAGACAGAAATTTTGTTTTGTTTTGTTTGGGGGCCACACCTGGCAGTGCTCAGGGCTTCCTCCTGGCTCTGCACTCAGGATCTTTCCTGGCAGGTGCAAGGGGACCATAAGTTGTGCTGGGGATTGAACCTGGGTTGGCCGTGTGCAAGGCATGAGCCCTATCTGCTGTACTGTCACTTGAGTCCGATCACAGAAAATATTTATTGTCCTTGCAGGCTTCTTTTTCTTGCCTTTACTTTTGCAGTCACTTTATTTAAAAAAAATTTTACTTATTTTTCATTAGCAATTCCACCTAAAATAGTCTGAGTTTCTAGGGTTAAAAATTACTAACTGCAGTTGCATTGAATATTTACATATTACCTAACTCTTTTCTTTATCACTGTTGCTCACTTATTTTCTGTTCTGTTTTGGGGTCACACCTGGCATTGTGCAGGGCTGACTTGTGTGCTGTGCCCGGTCTCCTGGTGGTGTGGGGCATGGCATAGTGGCCTGCTGCACGCGGGCAGCACCTGGCCCTGTGCTCTCTGCTGCCCCTAGGGTACTCTTCTCAAGAGTGTCAATATACAGATTATTTTTTGTATTAAGAGCATTCTGGTTCTTTTGACAGATTTATTTTTTTAAGACCTGTAAGACAACAGGAAGAAGAGAGAAACAATTTTTGTCCAACTGCTGACAAAAAATTTTCACCACCCCAAAAACGAAGCTTTCATTTATCATTCTTAACAAGTTTATTATCCCCAGAAGTGCTCAATAACTGTTCATTAACTTGTATAAATTATTCTGGAGTATTTAAATTTTGTTTGTTTATTATTTTTGAGCCACACCCAGCAGTGCTCAGGGCTTCCTTCTGGCTCTGCACTCAGGGATCATACCTGGTGGGCTCAGGGGAGTATATTTCTGGGAGTTCAACCCTGATAGGCTATGTGCAAGGCAACTGCCTTACTGCTGTTCTATCGCTCCCGCCCCAGCTCTAGAATATTTTAACTAGCTAATAGAAAGCAAGAAAATTACCATTTTGAGTATTAATGCATTTGTTTATTTCATTTCATATAATGTATTAAATATACATGATGTTCTTTGTACCTATAAAGTGTTTCTGTGATGTAGTTATACATAACAAAGAACTGGAATAAAATTTCTTTGTCACTTTGAATTTATAAAACTTAAAGGGTTATCAGGCAATATTTATGTGCCCTCTTTAAAACTAAGTATAATGTTTTTGCCTGCTTTATTTCTAATTTTTTTCAGGTTAGATCATAAACTTTTCCCTAAACTCCACAAAGTTACAGAATAGTGGGCATTGGCAGCAAAACCTGAATTAATGTTTATGTACTTGAGGTGGCAAATCTGAGATCTGAATGTGCTGCAGTACTTGGGTGCTTGCTTGGACTTCATTGGGAGTTCGTTATTTCTAAATCTCCTGGAAAAGTATATAAATCCCCAAACATTCAGCACACACTAACGATTATTAGATTGGACGATGAACTTCTGTTGTACTTCTAGATGCCTAGTAGAACAAATCACACACATTGCAGAAAAAGTAGAGCAGGTAAGGCCCTTGCTTGCCTAAGAAGCAGTTGACCTAGTTCTTTGTGAGCACAGAATGAGGAGTAAGTCCTGAGCACTTCTGGGCATTTTCAACCTCTTCCCCCCTAGAAAAATTACAACAAGCATGGTGTAGGTAATTGATCTTATAGAAAATGTAAGGATAATTTGTTTTCCAGTTATATTTTTGCTTTCTTTGAAGAAAAACATTTTTGCCTTCTCCATTTGTGGACACACAAGTGAAAAAAGAATTGTTTTTAAACAAATATCAAACACCATGTTTGATAACATCTAATGAATGGATCATATCATTTTTGCTGCCTTCAAGAGAAAGGGCAGTCTTGACTCTTGACTTTTAAGTTGATTTTTTTCCAATAAATTTTGCTCAGTGGTATCAGGAGATCATATGTTGCCAGAAATCGAACATGGGCCACTTACGTGCAAATTACACGCTCCAGACTTTGAGCTATCTCTCTGGACTTAGGGGTTTTTTTTTTAACCCCCTTAAGTAATAATGTCAAAATTTTAAGCAGTAGAATTTTGGGGGGGGGGGGGGCAGGGAGGGAACATCTAACAGTGCTCAGTAATCACTCCTGTCAAGGGTGATAGGCATAGAGCCCTGGTTAGCCCTGTGCAGGACAGGAACTTACATGCTGTACTGTCTCTCTCGCCCACAAATCTTTCTTTTTAACTTTTTAGTAATGTTTTAACTTAGAAATCTTTAGTTGAGTTATGCTTAAGATGGGCTGGAGTGATAGCACAGTGAGTGTTTGCTTTGCACGCCGTCGACCTGGGTTCTATTCCTCTGCCCTTCTCAGAGAGCCCGGCAAGCTATGAGAGTATCTCACCTGCAAACTCCCCAGGGCATATTTGATATGCCAAAAGCAGTAACAACAAGTCTCACAATGGAGACGTTATTGGTGCCTGCTCGAGCAAATCGATGAACAACAGGACAGTGCTATAGTGCTATGTTCAAGATATGGAACTGAATTTGAAGCATTCTTTTTGGTGTTTTGGCCACATCTGGTACTCAGGACTTCCTCCTGGCTCTGCATTTAGGGATCAATCCTGGCTGATTTGGGATACCAGATGGTGATCAGCTGTGTATGGCAGGTGCCTTGACCACTGTATTGTTGCTCTGTCCTCTGAAGCATTCTGTAATACACACTGATGGCCAAAGCTATGGTGCGGTGGTGAGGTATGTGATTCCCAGGTGGCTGAGCTGGGTTCCATCCCTGGCATCATGTGCAGCCCAAGAGCAGCGTGCTCTCAGGCCCTGCTGGCCCCTGACCAGGAATCTCTGGGAAGTGCCTCCAGGGAAGTCCCCCACCCCCAAGATACCCCACTTAGAAATGTTTTGTATGGTTTTCTTTCAGAGCCTCATCACTGAACAAATTCTTAGGAATAATGCTTCCTAGAAAGAAATCAGAAACCTGGGAAGATTCTGATTTTCACATACATATGATATATATGTATCAGATGTATATGCTTTAAGATCTGTTTTAGGGCTCGTTTTGCTCTTCTAAACAAGTTTGAGGAGTTGCTCTATTTCTGTACTTCTATTTCTAGTTCTTCTACCCTTGCT